TTTCATCCCTTCTGATAGTTCTCATGTCTTACCTGCTCATTCTTGAGTCTATTCTCAGGATGAACTCTGCTGAAGTTAGGTGGAAAGCTTTTTCTACCTGTGGATCCCACCTGACAGTGGTCACAGTGTTCTACGGGACTTTGATCTTTATGTATGTGCAACCAGAGTCCAGTCATTCCTTTGACACTGATAAAGTGGCTTCCATATTTTACACCCTCGTTATCCCCATGTTAAATCCCTTGATCTATAGCTTGAGGAACAAAGATGTAAAATGTGCCCTACAAAGGATGTGGAAAAAACTATGCAATAATTTTTCTTAGTTTACATACAATATGCGTCCTATAAACTAGTTATGGACTTTAAATTTTGCTCTATTTGCCTCCAAAAGAAATAGTGAGCATAAATGAGTTCAACATATATTTATAGATTGTCTTACATATGCCAGGTATTTCTACTTATTGTAAATAAATTAACGAACAAAATAGTAAAAATATTTGACTACCTTGAGTGGAAACTATCAATTACATACATAAGTAAAGTAAATGTTATAATACAGTAGGATGTGTTAGGTGGATATAGACCAGAAAAAAGCTGTCAATGATCCTGATGTTTTTCTCATCTATTAGAATAAAAATATACAGTGTGTGTCTGTGTGTCTAAGTCCTTTCTTTTCCTTCTGTTTTAGCCTTCATACTCTTCCTTGTTATGTTTTATCTGTGTGTTTGATAACTTGAAGTACTCTGTTATATTACTTTAACCAAATATCCTTATTTTAAACATTGGGATCCCACTTTTTCACTCATCAATTCCTTCACTTCTGTAGATGAGACTAGTAGATTCACCAAACATCTGTAGGTTCTGTTCTGTGCCTGATTTTTGTCTCAACCAGTCCATTTTGTTGATATCAGAAGATATTCCAATTAAGATAAATTTTGTGGTCCCTCATAAGCTCCCAGATTTGCACATTTTGTTCTCCCAAGTCGTTCTTTTTTTCATAACTGGCAGTTTGGTTTAGGAGATTGTAATATATTCTTGTCTTTTTGACAAAAAAAGTAATTATCCATGTTTAAATGTTATATTCCAGTTGTTTCTGTATCCTTGTTAAAATAGAAACCCATAGTAAAGTGAAGACAAGACAAAATCTGAGTAGATCTATAATAAATTGGAGGAGGGCCAAAATTAATATTAAGTTCTCAGGAACATGTGTGCTGAAAAGGAAACAAGGGGGTTTCCATTTTAAGAAATATCCCTAATGATTTGTAGGAGGACTTCTGTAAGACACAATACAAGAGATAAATGTTCTTTCCCGAAGAAGAGAAGTCTGCGAGGGAAATAATCATTCTCCATCACCTTCTGCTTCTCAGACTTTGAAGAAGCTTTTTATGTGAGATTCC